AAAAAAAAAAAAAAAAAACTATAAAGTCTAGACAGAATTTCACACAAACACATAGTAAAGTGGAAAAAAAAAAAAAAAAAAAAACTATAAAGTCTAGACAGAATTTCACACAAACACATAGTAAAGTGGAAGAAAGAACAATGAACAACAACAAAAAATTAATAGGCCTTGAGTATGGTATAGGTTCCTGAAAAAGCAATGACAAAGAGATGCATTAAAAATGCAAATGAGCCTACAACATCCAGGAGCAGAGGCCAACTAAAAGTATGAGGATTGTCACTTCATCACTGCATCTCACATCACGGTATGACAATGTCTGGCGGCATTTCCACTAAGGGAGCAGGTGATTTGGTCATCAGTTTCAGGGCTGAGGTGTTCAGCCTGTATTTCTGGTTATTAATTTCTTAACACTTCAGGCACTTTTGGCTTAATCATTAAATACCTTCTGTGTTTAAGTCTAGTACCAGTTCAAGATTTTGACTGATAAAGCTTATAGAATTCCAGAATGCTTGTCCCTGATAAATAGCATTAACTCCCAGAGATAATCCTGCTCTAGTGTCTGATGCCAGAAAATCCCACTCCATTCACTGGAAGTTTGGCAGATCCTTGCCTGTCCGTGACACGATGGGCTGTTTTGCTATGGAGCGATCGCTACCTAGAAAATCAGGAAGCCTCAGCTTTTGAGCCCAGTTTAACCATTAACTACCTGGTGAACCTGGCTCAGCTGCCTAAGCTTTTAAATCAAAAATCACTGTAAAGAATATTATAGGAAAATGCCCTGAGAACTGTACAGCACAATGTAATATTTAATTAATGTTGTATTATCTTGTATCAAATGACTTCCTTGTAAAATAAAGTCTCCACAGAGGTTAATAGTCTCACTTTCTGTCAATAATAGATATTTTATAACCAATACTTCTTTTATCTTCTTCATTTCTCATTTTTTAAAATGTATACATATCAGCCAGGCGCAGCGGCTCACACTTGTAATCCTAGCACTTTGGGAGGCTGAGGCAGGCGGATCACAAGATCAAGAGATCGAGACCATCCTAGATAACACAATGAAACCCTGTCTCTACTAAAAATAAAAAAATTAGCCAGGCATGGTGGCACACGCCTGTAATCCCAGCTACTTGGGAGGCTGAAGCAGGAGAATTGCTTGAACTCAGGAGGCAGAGGTTGCAGTGATCTGAGATTGTGCCACTGCGATCCAGCCTAGGTGATAGAGCAAGACTCCACCTCAAAAAAACAAATAAATAAAATAAATATGTGTACATGTATGTGTGTGTACACACACACACACACACACACACACACATATATATCATTCACATGAAGTAAAACTTTACTCTGAGTTTGAAATGGAGGAAGGGGAAGAAGGAGCCATTCTGGAGTTTCCTAAAATTTGGCATTACTCCTTCCTTCCTCTCAATTCCTTATCTGTTTTTATTGAGTGTGTGTGTGTGTGTGTGTGTGTGTGTGTGCGCGCGCAAATGCCTGCCGCAGGGACCTGAATTACAAAGATGAATAAAGATTCCATATGTTTTGCATACTCAACACCTTACCATTTGGTGGAAGAGATAGTCTTTTTTAGAACACAGTAATTACAGCGCAGTATGTAAGGGCTATAATACAGAAGTGTACCAGTGCTATAGGAGCACAGAGGAGAGGCAGAGAGATCCCAAGACCACTGCAAGCCAGGGTGTCAGCAAAGGTTTCAGGCAGGAGTTGACCCTTGAAATAGACTTTAATTAGTTTTTCACAAGGCATAATGTACTTACCTTTTAAAAAATTTAGATTCACGGAGATCATATGCAGGTTTGTTACATGTATATGTTGTGTGACGCTGAGGTTTGAGTCTCAAATGATCCCATTGCCCAAGTAGTGAACATAGTAGCCAACAGGCAGTTTTTCAGCCCCTGTTCCCCTCCCTCCCATTATCTGTTTTAAAATAACTATTAGGTATAGTCAACTAATAATTTTTAGCATGTGCCTTTTTCATTGTTCATATAGTCTAGATAAGGGAAAGTGCAGTAAAGTTTTCACCAAAGAATACACTGTTACTTATTCATATCTGAAACAAAGCTGCTTTTCTATTCCCAACTGCCTTTTTCAAAGGCAGCCATGGATTCAGGAACAAAGAAATTATCTCCATCAATCAAAGTAACACAGAGATGTGCAAGATGCAGGAGTCACTTTCCAGAGGCAGAACTTTAGAAAGTTGAGCAAGGAGAAATTTTCCACATACTGAGGACTTGCCACCCACGGTCAGCATAAGCAATGGGCAGAAGTGGCCTTCATCACTTGCCTACCTCTAACCCTCCGCCTCCACCCAACCAGAAGTATAGTTCAGCAAAATAGCCAACAAATAACCAGATTCACTTTCAGGTCTTAGGCATAGCAAAAATACATCATATAGGTAAAGCGCATGGGAGAAATGAGGTTATCTAGGCACAGAAAGGATCTTAGAAAATACTGATAATGGCAAGGGCAGCTAATAAAACACCTAGGCAGCCTGTAACCCCTCTCAAATCCACTATCCGCTTTCCAAAAAAATAATATAATATAAAGCAGCTCACTGGGCACGGTAGCTCACACCTGCAAACCCAGCACTTTGGGAGGCCAAGGCGGGCAGATCACTTGAGATTAGGAACTCGAGACCAGCCTGGCCAACATGGCGAAACCCCATCTCTACTAAAAATACAAAACTTGGCCAGGTGTGGTGGCGGGCACCTGTAATCCCAGTTACTGGGGACTGAGGCAGCAGAATCACTTGAATCCAGGAGACGGAGGCTGCAGTGAGCCAAGATCATGCTACTGCACTCCAGCCTGGGCAACACTACAAGACTCCGTCTCAAAAAAAAAAAAAAAAAGCGTAATGTAAAATAAATAAAATATAAATATTTATTCATATTATAAATAATTATTGATGTCCATCAATGACCTCACCTGTAAACAAGAGGCCTCTTATTGGCCACAGAATTTTGGGCAAGTTACTTGGCCTTTCTGCATCTATTTGTTTACCTGATAAAAGCTAAGATGACAGATGTTCATTAAATGGTTGATGTCACTATTTATATCACAAGCATAACTTTAGTGTTTTCCATTGTCAGAAAAGTGTAATAAAATATCAACAATATCTGAAAGAACTCAGACACTTCCTCATCTCAGGCAGGAAGGCAAAAGCAGGCCCTGAATATCAGAACATGATAGTGTCAATTCACAGAGAAAGAGCTCACAAATCTCAGGTTTCATTTATATGTCACATGATACCTGCAGGAACATATCTCATTCAAAAACAATTAACTACTTTTTGTTGTAAAGTGAAAGCAGCCATGGACAATACATAAACCAACTGGAATGTCTATCTTTCAATAAAGCTTTATTCATAGACACTAAAATTTGAATTTCATGTTATCTCCCCATGTCAAAAAATATTACTCTTCTGACTTTTTGCAACCACCTAAAAATGTAAAAAACATTCTTAGCTCATGGGCCATAGGGAAACAGGCAGTAGAAACATGAGCTATTCTTAGACATAATGAGGGCAAGCATTTACTATGTATCAAATATGTTTTAAGAGATTTATAAAAATTTAGTTATAGTATTTAGATATATTATTTGTGTCCTTATAGTATTTCAAGATAAATAGCATCATCTTCTTCATTCTACAGGTGAAAAATCTAATGTGGAGGTGACTTAAGTGAGAGGCAGAACCAGGATCGGATATCACCAAATCTGGCTCTAAATCGATGTTCTCAACATCTGTGATGTACTGCTACTAAAATTATGCAGGCATAGGACTGGGACATACAGGAGAGAAAATATTTCATCACTGGACTGGGACATACAAGGAAAAAATATTTAATGACTGGGGTGGGTGGGATATATTTAGTGGCTTCCCAAAGAGAGAAACAAGATATATACTACATTTTGATGAATTCGAAATGCAGACTATCTTTTCCTAGTTCACCGCTTTAAAAAGCATGTCTGGTGCTTTGGTATCACAAACTGTAAACTTGGGATCCACGCTGGGAAACAGCTTGGAAATGTCAGAAGTCATCTTTGAATAAAAATAAAAACTGATTCATCCTGACAGTTAACCTCTTATTTTGATTTTGAAATCTCTGCAAAGATTCATTTGCAGAGATTTCTCTGACAAAGAGAATACAGTTGAATTATGCATTTGGACAAAAAATTTAGTGAATACCTCCTTTGTGCTTAGCCCTGCAGAAATGCCAAGTTCAGGTCATTCTCCTTATTCACAAGAGGGTTTCCATAGTTTTCCAATAAATACAAAATGGTATAAAATGAACAGTCTTGAACTTGAAGGGTATATAAGCCTTCAGTCACATTAAACTTTTTAAAAATTAAACGACAACATGATATGACTCTAGATGACAGACACTACAGCCCTGGAATGGCCAGCTTTCAGTGTCGCCAAGCCTCATCTCCCTCT